TAAGCCGGATTACTTCATTTCAGTTCAGAGTTAATGTAAATTTCTAAATTAATACATCAAAATAAACGGCTAAAGTGACATCTTTCTTAAATTACCTTTTCCTTTTCATTTTTATGGAATACGAATTTGTATTGGGAAATGTAATGTTGGTTGCCTATCGTCGCGGTCACGTGGGTCTAGGACATTAATGAAAGCCCTGTATATCGTATTCTGAAATTGTGTATAAGTGTAAGGTATACAAATTCAGTGAATGTTTACCTTTACTTCTATAAATTGTTCTTAATAACGATGTTTCCCAGTATATCAGCTACTGGGTGATATAAGTGTAGGTATACAAATTCAATGAATGTTTACCTTTACTTCTATAAATTGTTTGCCTATGTTTCACTAATCCACGTTAAACACATTTCGAGATGTTTGCGTATTTGTGATGTTTTTCAAAAACTTAAACACCCTACAATTGAAAATAAAACAATTTTGTTAGCGTTTACGCTACTTCACTTAAATACAGGGTGATTCAGAACTTATCCGAAAAACATTGAGGATATGTGCACCCTTAAATAAGAAGTCGATATCACCAAAATAGTTATAATAAAAGTCTAATAGATTTCGCGTAAAAATGTTAAAAGTACAAACCATCAAAATGCAACTGATAACAAAAAAAGGAAAAGGTTTTGCGCTTAGAGCGCGTCTGCCTGGTGAATAGGGTTGGAGTGGGGATATGCTCCCCAGGTGTTAAACGAACGAGGTCAGTAGTGTTGTTTGTTTTATCGTGGGAGTGTCAAAATAGCTCATGATTCTTATTTAGAGTGAAGTTAGAGAAAATGCATTGGCAGTTTCGCGCTTGTTTCCGTATCGATTTCCCGATCGACACATACCAAATCATGAAACTTTTACAACACAACAGTGGTACAACGTGGACGTGATACTGGTAATTTACGTGCAAATCGTAGACGAGATGGTGGCCCCGGGCGACCACAACGTGTTAAATATACATGTATACAGGGTGGCCAAATGAAAACGAAACAAAGCCATTTTCAGGAACTGTAGACTTAAGATTGTAAAAAAACGCTCAGACCCGTCGATTTTAGCTTAAAGAAGGACATTCTTTGCTGGTATTTTTGACTCCGCCACTTTCACCCCCAAGCAAGGGTAAGCATCACCCCAAAATATTTAAATGGCATTGGGGGTTGAGTAACATTTCTTTTGAAAGCTCTTACAATTCTCTTTTCAACGGACTTTAAATTTAATAATTCCGCCCAATACTTATTAAGAATTTTATTTTAAAGTTGAAGCTTATATACAAACAATTAGTAACGGTAAAAATGTCAGTCATTCGAGTTAAGTACGCCAATGGTATACATTTAGTATTTCTTGCGTTATATTGATTTTTGGCGATTTGTTATCACTTTCGTAAAAAAAACATAATTGTAAAAAAACATACATGAATGCTATACACACACAACGAACGTAAAATTAATGGATTCCAAATTATTTTCTAGTATTATTTGGAAGTGTTGGTTGATAGTTTATTTAATTGTGTTTTTGAACATTAAACACTATGGTTTATTCCATTGCGGAAAGGGTAAATATCATTTCGCTTTACTTTATGAACAATAAATGTGCGAATAGAACAGCTCAGCTATTTAATGAACAACATCAAGATCGACATGCCAAGAGGAAGTATGTTCTAGAGTTAGTAAAAAAATTTCAAGAGACAGGGAACGTAACCAATAAAAAACGAGAAATTGGAAAACCTATAGTTAATGAAGCTAGTGAAGTTGCAGTTTTGGGACAAGTTCATCTTGATCCTACATTAAGTACGAGGCAGCTGGCATCTCTATCTGGGATCAATCGAACTAGCATATAAATCATTTTGAAGAAGAATAAATTCCATCCATACAAAATACATTTACTCCAGGAACTTCATGAGGATGATGATGACCGTCGTTTGCAATTTTGCGAAATAATGAGTGAGCGAGTTCTTGAACGGGACGGTAAATCGTCACAATTGCCGCTATTGGTCCGATTCAAACCCAAGAGTTTTTCGGTGATCGGGTGGTGGGTCCTTTTTTTCTATCTGGTAATTTGACTGGCCAAATGTATTTGCAACTATTGGAAGACGGTATTGACCCTGCCTTGACTGATATTATTGAAAATGTTCCAGAGTATGATGAAGATCATTTGACTTTTCAACAGGACGGTGCTCCTCCGCATTATGCATTAATTGTCCGTCAGTATTTGGACCAATGTTTTCTACGGAATTGGATTTAGAGAAGAGGCAGCTATGAGTGGCCTCCACGATCACCGGATTTATCGCCCCTTGATTTCCTTTTGTGGGGATACCTAAAAAGTTTCGAACAAAATCTTTATTCTTGTATGGAAGCGGGCGGTCATCAGTTTGAACATTTAATCAACTAAGTAGTAAGTAAGCAACTAAACATAATTTAAATTTTAAAATGTAAATTTTTTTCAAAGTATTGGGCGGAATTATAACATTTAAAATCTGTTGTAAAAAGAATTGTAAAAGCTTTCAAAAGAAATATTATTCAAACCCCAATGCTATTTAAATATTTTTGGGTGATGCTTACCCTTGCTTAGGGGTGAAAGTGGCGGAGTCAAAAATACCAGCAAATAATGTCCCACTTTAATCTAAAATCGACGGGTCTGGGCGTTTTTCTACAATCTTGACGCAGTTCCTGAAAATGGCTCTGGTTCGTTTTCATTTGGCCACCCTGTATGCATACTACGTATACAAGGTATTAATATCGTGTTTCCTTAAGATGTAGTCTATCTTGTTAGTACATCCATTCCCAGATGGAGGAATCCTTTTATTTTTTCCTAGGTATCCTTCTGATGACTCATTCAATAATAATCCTCTTCCTGTATCTATTTCCTTAAGATGCAGTCTATCTTGTCAGTACATCCATTCCCAGATGGAGGAATCCTTTTATTTTTTCTTCGGTATCCTTCTGATGACCCAATACTACAGACGTACGTGTTCTAATTACTCGTCAAAGTTCCATCTCGCAGATATAACGTACTTATTCGATGTACTAATGTACTGACAATTATCTATAAAAATTGTTCTTACACTTTTTTTCCTAAGAATCACCATTTCTGAGATACAGCGATCCGAAAAGTTGAAAAAGTCGTGTTCTCCATAATATGCACACGTTTCCACGCCACCTGTGAGGTAGTGTACTTGGCGTGTTTCTTTTAACGTGGTTTCCTCGGTAGGCCTATTCCACGATATATTGTGGTCCTGTTTAATTAAATAATATTGTATTAAATACAAAATGGTACTATGGTACTATTGGAAATGATGAAAGCGGTGTGAATTATGAGTAATTGGGGAAAACTATTCGTCTGATTGATAATTATCTAATGGAACTTCTTCTCTTTCTTCTTCTTCTTCTTCTTCTTCTTCCTACTGGACACAAGTAAATTGTTCTAACGATACATCAAATGACTCCTCGCTGACATCGTAAGAATCCTCTTCTGATGGCGATTCAACATTGGAGCACGACTGGCCTTGACAACTGGTACATGCTAATAAACAAAACAATCTAACTTTTTTGTAGCCGCACTTAACACTACACCCCTTCTTGTAATTGCAGAAAATTGTATTGAGGAGTTTTTCCGGTGCAGGTGGGAGCAAAGTCTGGATTGGTTCCAATGTATTGTCAATTAACTTCCAACCCCAGTCTTCTGGGTCCAGTTAATTACCAAGCCACACTTGAACTTAATAATATACCAGAAGTAGATGTTGATGAGCAGAAGCAGAGGTTGGAACAAGGAACGTTCAAGACTAATAGTATTTCGTTTAGACCTTTGAAAAAGGAGCAGGATGCCACGCGGACAATTGAATAGCAGACAGATGTTGTTCAAGGTTATACGGACAACGTGTGCATATTAGGGAAAACACAACTTTTTCAACTTCAACATAAACACACCACAGAAATGAGAGAGATTTTTGAATCGCTATATATCAGAAATGGTGGTTCTTAGGAAAAAAGTGCAAGAACAATTATTTTTATAGATAATTGAATGATCTACAATTTTTGCCAGACGTATTTTTATGATAAAACTTACAGTTTGGCTGAAATATGCAAAAAAACATATTTGCGAACTTTGATCTTGAATAATTTTTTTGCAGATGTGGGATCGATGGGGATTTTTCACGTTTCATTTATAATGGTGCTCCAAACATTCGTGTCAATTTTAAGCTTTATGGGAATTATTGTAACCTTGAATGTCTATTTTCACCGGGCTAATTTGTTTCCGGACTGAGATTCAACGTTCAGGTATTTATTTATGTGATTATCCTTCTGTTCGATTTTCTCTTGACAAGGATCTAGAGTACATTTTTCTTTCACTTCTGTGGTGAAGCTGACATTCGGTTGTATTCCACTCCATATGGTTCAGGAATGTTTCTATGTTCGTGTACTATACAGGACCTCTTCTCAAAGGCTGTAAATATTTGCTAAAGTTGAGGCCACGGGTGAATCCATGGCTGCTCCTTCACTATATTTATAAAACTAAAGAAGAGAAAAGTCTATCTAGTCCACGTTTTTGTCAAGTTTTCTAAATATTCAACACTACATCATCTCTATGATTCAACACCATGAATAAAGTTTTCTAAGATTTTCCAGATTTTGCTGATAAAATATCCAGCTTTCCGTCGTTCTTACTTTCTCATTAGGTCTTTAATTTAGTACGTACAGTCGGTGAGCGACAAAAAGTAATAATTACTTGCTGCCACTGCTGTAATCCCTTTGTCAGCCTCCTGTAACTGAAGAATGGAACGTCTACATACATTTTTCGATAAAAGACTTTACTAGAAACATTCGTTTCCATCGTAACGATTTCTAAGAACGCGAAAAATTACAAAAGTTTGTCAGATGTATGACAGCTTTAGTGAATGATCCTTAAGTACTCTTTAAGAGTTAATAAATTTCAAATGGAGCATATGTCAGAATATCTTTTTGCATATTTACCTGTGTGTTGGGAGCCAGTTGTTGTAGTAAGGGTGTCAACAGAGTCACTTGTCGCGGGCAGCAGGGGTGCGGTGGAAACGATGGGCTGTTGGTCAAGTCTGTGGTGCGGGCCCGCCGACTGTCTCATCGGTACTTGGCGCCCCGCCGGAACGCCGCCGCCCGTGATCTACGGAGCTACACACCACCACCAGTTAGTATATTAGACAGCCAAAGCGCAAGCATTAAACTATATACAAATGACACATTTAAGGCACCGGTTAGTATGGTAAATATTGTAAAAACTATAAACGATGAAAATATTTTGAGAAAAATAATTTATACAATGTGTCCCAAAATTCATATTTGAAATTAAAAAAAATGTCTGCAACAGGTCAATTAGTAAATAGAGATTGTCACTTTTCTGAAATATTTTCTATTTTTTTTAGCCATGTTTGAGAGACTTATAATATTACCGACATTTTTTTATGCGCTTCCAAAAGACAAGTAAACAGTGGCGCGTACATAGGTAAAATGTAGTATATATGTGGAAATTAAAAAACAAATTGGATTTATAATAAATTACATTTAAAATAAATAGTTTATGAGAATAAAGGAATTTTTGTAGGAACAAGGGTGCAGACGTGAACTGATCCCTTCGTCCCTTCATAATATATAAAGAAATTATTCTATTTCTAAAACTCTTAAAAGCGTACGACACTGGATCCCTTGACAGGCAATGCATTATTACTTTGCATCGAATATGATCCTACTACTAAAAATTTGTTGAGGATTTTCTTCGTATTAAGAAGCTTATATTAATTTTTTATGAATATTTGTTCGTCAATTCCAAATCAGATAAACCTCCTTAAATGAAAACAATAATTTAGTACTACTTTTTATTTTATTACAGCAAATGTTCAAAGTGGCACCCATTAACCATTGCACAATGTCCAACTCGGTGTTCAAAGTTATCAATTACATTTTGAATAACATTTGGTGTTATGTTTCGAACTTCTTCTCCGATACGATTTTTCAATCCTTCGATAGTGGCTGATCTGTTCACATGCTGTTTGGATAACCCCACAAAAAAATCTAGTGGGGTTAAGTCTAGTCAGGCGAACGTGCTGGCTATTCAAGCGGACCTCTTCTGCCTATCCATCGATTTGGGAAATCTTCATTAAGGTAATTTCTTACATCGAGGCGAAAATGTGAAGGGGCACCATCTTGTTGGAACCAGACATGACAAGCAGGCTTGCTAATTACGATTAGGGAAAATTAATAATAAATAAATAAATGTCGCCTGTCAAATTGATCTCAAAGAAATAAGGTCCCAGTATGCGATTTCTTATTACTCCATCCCAACATTCACTTTTTCCCGCCGTTGTGTATATTTTTCTTGCAACCAATGCGGATTTGCTGGGCTCCAAAACCTAGTATTTTGCCTGTTCACGGTTCCATTTAAGCAAAAAGTTGCTTCGTCAGTGAAAATTATGTGATTTTTTAAATTGGGTTGTCTTTCAAATAAATTTCTAATTTCCTCGCAAAACTGTAATCTTCTGTCTGTGTCATCTGCCCATAGTTCTTCTAAGACGTTAACTTTGTAAGGATGTCACTTTTTAGACTTCAGAATTCTGTGAACAGTGAGGATTGTCAGCAAGCATTACATTTTGACGGTCATTTTCGCTTACCGTTCTTCGCCCTCTTGATCCAGGTAAATCTTTTATACTTCCAATTTCTTCAAACTTTTTGGATATTTTACTTATTTTAGGTCGACTAATTCTCTGGTCTGGATACTTATGGTGAAATAAGTCATGCACATACCTCCTGTTGACTACGGATTTTATCTAATCATAATTAATATTTCAATTCTCTGTTTTTCGCTTAAACGGGCAACCATTTTTCAAAATAATTTAACAACGAATGAATTGGAACTAAAGATTCACGTTATACCTAAGGTACTCTGGTGAATTTTGTGTGTTTATCGATGTGTATTTTTTTGAGAAAAAATGCTTTAAAGTAAGTAAAAAGAGATTAATAAAGAGTAGGTACATTTTTTTAAGTACAGAAGAGACTATGATTGTTTGAAATAGTCGTCATACGACATAAAACATAATTTTTTTGACAACTACGACAAAAAAGTAGGTAAAACCTTATACCGCTCAATTCGTCATTAGAAGGGCTATCTATTTATACTATAAAATATAAAGTGTCCTATTCAAAAATTATGTCGGTCAAATATGGCTCAAAAAATAGAAAATATTGAAAAAAACGACAATTTCTATTTACTAATTGACCTGTTTCAGTGATTTTTTAAAATCTGAATTTTGAGAACTACGACAGTGAGTTGGAATAACAAGTTAACGGAATTTTGAACGTTGAAGCATAAACGTTATGCCTATACAGAATTAAAAAGTTCTGGTCATTAACTCTCTGGATTTCGAGGTTGCATACGAACCAGAGGCTATAGCGACGTTACCAAATACGTCTTACAATCTCCAACAGAGTAATGATTTAGCTGTTAAGCTGTAGCAATACCGTTCAAGAAATGAAACAAATATCCATGTATGGATGTAACAGCTATAAACTTTTAGGACTGCTTCTTCTTGTCAAAACAAACAAACAGTAACGTTTTTCCCTAAGACGATTCCTTCTACGATCCTTCAATTATTGAAGATGAAACAATTTTGGTTAGTTGCTCAAGAACCACTGATTGTATAGCTTTTAAAACCGATACAGTACATTTCTGCCATAGTAGCTACGTATATGTAAAATTTGAATTAAAAATTAAACAATGACGTGAATATTAAAGGGGTAGGTGTCTGAGGAGTCCCAGCTGTCAATTTAAAGATATTTGACGTTGCAGACATTCTAGAGCCAAAACAATTGCAATGGAAAATGTTGTTTCTTTTAAGTTTTTTTTGTAGAATGTATTCAGCATAAGAAAAAGATAACAAATAATGACAACGTTAGGACCATAGATAGAAGCCAATTATTTTATCTAATTAAGTAATCTATACTTGTATTTTTGCAAAAGTTGAATCTATATCCATACTTCTTTCAAGTTCCATATTTCTTTCAACTTATGCAAAACTTTAAATTATATTGACTTTTCACTCTGCTACTAATAATGCTCCTAATATTTTCGCTTTAAATTGTCATGGGTGTATTCTACAAAAAAAAAGTAAGAATAAGATTCTCTTTGAATTCAAATAACTATATCTTTGACAGAGAACTCCCGGAATCTTCCTAATTTCGACGTCACTGTCTAGTTTTTGTTGAAATTATGTGTAGTTTGAAGTGTATATTTTCAGAGATTCTTGAATAAATGATCAAAACTTGTGATTCGCAAATTTTTGAAGGTTCGTCTTTATCTGAAGTTACTTATTTGTAGCACAGTTTTAATTTCTTTTTCTTTATTTGTTGGGTATTTAAAATTAAAAAAATATAAAAATTAACCCTTGCAAAAGTTGTACATTTCAAAATCTTGTTGACGTTTTGATGTTTTCATCTTCTGAAAAAAAAACAAATTTAAGCTGTCAGAAATAATTAAAAACAAAGTCATTATCAGTTCAAAAGTCGAAAACAGATTTATTTTTAAAACTCCATGAACTTCTTGAAGTATGCGATATGCTTTCTTCAGTATGAGATTTTTGTTATGCAAAACTATGTTTATAAAAATAACTCTTAACTGATTCTTTTAACACAAGGGTTTAATACATTCATTTTGTTAAATTTTCTTCAATATTCTTCAAAATTCAATAAACAAGGAAAAATAAGCTTGTATAAAGTCCTTAGAAACAATTATTCACTTTTTGTTTGTTTTGACAAGAGATATCATTCCGGAAATTTGTCGCAACGTACATCCTGTATAAATAGGCTCAAAAATGTGTGACATCAGTTTGTCAAAAATTTACATATAAGTAATTATGTTATATTAACTTAAATATATATCAAAGGTTTTAGTTTTTAATGTTTTTACAATATGAAACGAATGATTTGCGATAACATTTGTATTTATGTATCAAATCATTGGGTATAACGTAAACTACATATTTTTAACCCCAAATTTTGACTTCTTTTAAAATCCGTAAAGATATGTAAGATGTTTCATTTAAAATTATATTAAATATACACATAACTTAACAATAAAATATTTTTTATATTGAGAGAATTTCAAGAAGTAGCTTAGTGGATATTTTGGTACATTTTTCTCTCTTAAACCGTAGTCTTTAGAAACGATGAATTTTTTTAATTAAGATACTAAGTTCTAGATTCTAGATTTGTATGAATTTCCTTGTCAATTAACTAAATTCCAATGGATCATGTTGTACATACCTAAAAATATAAAAAGAAACTGCAGTGAAGTAATATTTTACTTGATAAATCTCAAAATGTCATCTTCTATATGAATATAATGTATAACAATAAAAAATTTCTAATAATTTGTTATATAATTTTTAAATTAATTCGAAGTATATGAGTAGAAATACCTAAGGTGGTTTAATCTTTTACTTCAAAATATATGTACTACTTTCTTATGATGTCATTTTCCATTCCTGTGATGCAGGGCATTGCAATTTTTTTTATTCAGTGATATATTTCATACACGAGTTAATTTATCTCAAATTTTTATCGCCACAGATTTCGTGAAGATTATACGTATTTTTTTGTAATTTTTCTACAGTTTTAACCAAAGATTATCTCTTGAGTATGAGTGAGATATAACCAAATTGTAAAAGTATAGGCCTTTAGATATTATTAAAGATAAGCACGATCATTTTTGAATTTAATAAGTTGCGTGAAAAATGTCCAAATTTTTCATATTTGCCCTGTTTATCATAAAAGCATATTACAAAGTACAGTACTGCAAATAGTTTTCTCAGATGTTATTTATTAATATAAAGCATGTCCCAAAATTCACGCAATAAGTAGTTTTGGTAGAAAACACAGGTTTTTAATTAAAAATTGTAAATACTTATTTTATTGATTCATAAAGTATACAGGATAGGATTATGTATGGAACAACAATCGGGTAAATGATCTCGGCTTTGCTGGCACAAACGCACTCTTTTGTTGAGATTTCCCATGACCGTTTTCCATAAATGCGGCTGACTTTAGTTAATACAGTCTCGATTTCCTCCTTCAGGG